ATATATATATATTTATATATATATATATATATATATATATATATATATATATATTTATATATATATATATATATTATACTATATATATATATAATATATATATATATATATATATATTAATATATATATATATATATATATATATATATATATATATAATATATATATATATATTATATATATATATATATATATATATATATATTTATATATATATATATATATATATATATTTATATATATATTATTTACATATATATATATTTATATATATATATATATATATATGTATATTTATATATATATATATAAAATATATATAAATATATAAATATATATATAAATATATATATAAATATATATATATATAAATATATATATATATATATATATATTTGTCTAGTAGTATTACTCATTTTTCTCATAATTGTTATTGTTCTAACATATTTTCTTATGGTATCAAGTATGTTATTGTTATAAAAAAAAGTTCCATGCAAAGACAGTTCAATAAAGGAGCATCGGTACCTGCATTTGTACAATATCCATTATATACAATCTTTACTTCACTACTCTAAGGAAATCAAATAAATCAGAGCAGATTCTTAAATTGTTCGAAAGGTCTTACCTTGTACTGGAAGCAAGACACAGCTATGTAGAGGACATCAAGCAGCTGATGTAGGCGGGTGTGTGACAAATCCGAGAGTGTGTGACGAAGGGTTACTTCATCAGCATTACTCAGGACCCAGAGGAGGCAGATGAGCATGTTGCGTGTTGTCTCGGAACTCAAGGGGCACTTGCGAGGCTGCTGTTGCTGAATGTTCAGAAAAAGAAATAAAAAGATAAAAGAAAATATAAAATTCAATCTTAAAGTTCAGCCTCTGGATAAAAAAAAAGAAAACACCAACAGAAATATAAATATATATAGCCTAAATTCCAAAATCCAAAAAGTGTCTTTCCTTTGACCTCCAATCACATATACTTCTCTAACAAATCATTTACAACAACGATTATCTGACAAAGGAGAGAATGAGATGGTCACTTACATTCTCTATCTCCTCTTCAGATGTCTGCATGCCAGTACAGTGCAATAAAATTGTTAATGGTGCATATATTTCATCACAATAGCAAAATAATAAATTTCTATCCTTTATGACTGAAACAAACATTAACCCACTATTTAAACCATATACATATGTGCATGTGTTATATATATATATATATATATATATATATGTATATATATATATTATATATATAATATATATATATATATATATATATATATATATATATATATATATATATATATATATATATATATATATATAATATATATATATATATATATATATATATATATATATATATATATATATATATATAATATATATATATATATATATATAATATATATATATATATATATATATATATATATATATATATATATATATATATATATATATATATATATATATATATATATATATATATATATATATATATATATATATATATTATATATATATATATATATATATATATATATATATATATATATATATATATATATATATATATATATATATATATATATATATATATATATGTATATATATATATATATATATATATATATATATATATATATATATATATATATATATATATATATATATATACATATATATATATATACAATATATAATATATATATATATATATATATATATATATATATATATATATATATACATATATACATATATATTTTGTGCATGTGAACGTGCCTGTTAGCGTGCATATCTGAGTATGTGGTTACATATACATTTACTCTTACATATACATATATACATATGCATATGTATATGCATATGCATATACATATATATGCATATGCATACATATATACATATACACATGCATATGTATATACATACATATATACATATACACATGCATATGTATATACATAGATATATACATATACACATGCATATGTATATACATAGATATATACATATACACATGCTATACATATACATATACACATGCATATGTATATCCATACACATATACATATACACATGCATATGTATATCCATACATATATACATATACACATGCATATGTATACATACATATACATATACACATGCATATGTATATCCATACATATATACATATACAAATGCATATGTATATACATACATATATACATATACACATCATATACATATATAATATATATATTATATATATATATTTGTATATATATAATATATTATATATATATATATTATATATAATATATATATATATATATATTTGTATATATATATATTTGATATATATATATATATATATATATATATATATATATATATATATATATATATATATATATATATATATATATATATATACATATATATATATATATATATATATACATATATATATATATATAATATATATATATATATATATATATATATATATATATATATATATATATATATAATATATATATATATATATATATATATATATATATATATATATATATATATATATATATATATATATATATATATATATATATATATATATATAATATATATATATATATATATATATATATATATATATATATATATATATTATATATATATATACATATATATTTGTATATATATGTAAATATATTATATATATATATATATATATATATATATATATATATATATATAATATATATATATATATATATATATATATATATATATATATAATATATATATATATATATATATATATATATATATATATATATATATATATATAATATATATATGTAAATATATATATATAATATATATATGATATATATATGTAAATATATTACAATATATATATATATATATATAATATATTATAATATATATACATATATATATATATATATATATATATATATATATATATAATATATATAATTCACATATTAAACATATATACAGAATATATACATAAAAGATATATATAAACATATATAATATATATAATATATATATCTATAATAAATATATATGTATATAAATGCATATACATATGTTTCATGTTTTCTTTGCTAGAATTCCAAATGTTTGAACATGTCTCCAAACAAAAAACTAATAAGAAAAAATTTGAAGAAGCTTCAATGTGAAATTAAATTTTAAAAATTAATTTCAGACTATGCATACAAGTACCAAAAACCTGCTGCTTACAAGAATGTGAACAAAATAGCTCTGCTTTCCAGCCATAAATACAGGCTGATGCTACTCCAGCAGTTTACTCTCAGGCCCTCTTTGTTTCTTACGTGTTGATGTTACCTTACTTCCCAGAAACATTAATGAATAACGGCTAATGTAAACTGAAAAAAGACTAAAAGATGACATGTATTGATACTAGATAAGATTAAAATAATAAACCCAAATAAAAGCAATGAATGAAAAACTTATAATGAGCGATTAAACAGGGTCATGTCGACCATGGAATGCAGGATGATCCTGAACCATCCACTTTAATTACTGTTGATTCCTTTACATGAAACCGTTGAAAATGAAGATGAGATGGATAAAGGAAATAGTGATGATAGCCTCTCATCTACAGGTCAACAATCCGACCCTCTTTACTGTTGTCCCTGCCACACACTGGTGGGCCTCTCCTCCAAATTTGTGTAGTATGAGCAATAATCACACTATTTACAGAACATCCAGTGCTTGCACTGGTCTTTTGTATACTTTTCTTGGATAAAAATGCACATACTACTCTTTTTTGTATGATTTTAAGAATACAGATAGACTACATGCTAGAGCAAACAATTAGATAGTATGGTCCAGCTCCACATTATGTATTCCAATGGGATATTATGTAACACTGGACTTTTCCTGTCAACTTTTGTATATCCATATGAACTTTCAGAGTGCAAATGGTACCACCCTACCACACGGGCAGAGAACAGCCACTCTCGTGCAAAATAAAAATGACGTCCAAGAGGGAGGAGTGATTTAGAAGAAGGGGGTACCAAGTTCTATTTTTCTCTCATTCTTTGTCTACTTTTCCATATTGATCACATGATTGTTATGGTTACCAAGTTCACATTATCAATTAAGTTAGCATACCTGTTTGTTGTAACCTTAAAGCTAGACCTCTTTCACTAAATCTCTTTATATTTGTAAAATGAATCTTTTCCATATTGATCACATGATTGTTATGGTTACCAAGTTCACATTATCAATTATCATACCTGTTTGTTGTAACCTTAAAGCTTCATGATTTATTCGATCATAATAAATTACTGTTAAGTGTTATTACAGTACAGCATACTTGTACACAAGTAAGTAAGTAATAATGACAAGAAAATAAATGTGCTAGATACTTGATAACAAGCATCTTTTATAAAATGCATGAAACAAAACTGCATAGTACTAACCCCTTGTATGACATCATAGTCACTCTCCCTGTTGGCAAACATAGAAGAACCAGCAATAGCTAAAGCAACATTTTGGTGGATGTGTGTTGCGACTCCATCATTCTCGTCACTGACAGAAGACATCAAATTCCGATCTGTTGAAAATAAAAGCTGATTTTAGGAATAGGATAAAATAAAATTAACTTATAAGCACACAATAAATAATTTACAATGCAAGTCCTCTGTTTACATTGGTTTATGTATTTTCAAATGTATAATGAAGCACTATTAAGGAATAACTTTCTAGGAAAGCTCCACTTGCAACTATTGGCATTAATATTTGGTTTCTTAAGTTTAATAAAACATATACCTAATTTCTAGCTTTTATAATAATTTAATAATCTAACACTGACATAGGTAAAACCGAGTACAAATTATCCCACCTGAACTAACCCCAAATAATTAGACTACACAAAACCTTTTAAAATTAAGACATACTTTTATTACTTGCAAATGTGTGCAGCTGAGCTAAGGCATCAATGACAATGCTGATGAGTGGCAGATACAAAGCCACCACTCTTGCCTTTACTTCTGGCTCTGTGAAACGTTCATCTGTGTCATGGCTTGTCAGCAAGTTTCTCACTGAGTTCACTGCTCTTCCATGGATACTGGGATTGCTGGAAAAGGAGTGAAAATTCATAAACCTAATATTCATATCAGTTGTTCAGTATGTACATAGGTGTCTCCTGTACTTTTACAATCCAATGACATTTTATCAATAGTCTCCTACTCACTTTATTTCTAGAGCAGTAGCCAAATCTGACAACACAAGACCAACAAGGAAGTGCTGTTGTCTGAATGAGTTTGAAAGCATCATGAAAGCACTACGATTTCCACCAATCACAGTGGAGATGAAGGATGACTGACTAGTTGTTGATCCAATCTGAAAGTAATAATGCAAAATTTAGAAAACTATAACCTGTAAAATAGAACTTCCTACCTTTTCTGTTTAAATACCAATAAGAGATAAATAAATTTCTGTAAATGAAATAAGAAAAAATAAATAAAATAAAAAACCTGATGATACACTTCTAAGTACATGGAAAGTGTATTTCTCACTCTGAAGTAAAAATTTTAGTAGTAAACAATGAATTATCATAGCCTTGTTTGAAACATTCTCACATATGTGAATAAATGCAAAATATAGCTTACCGAGGGACAGGGGGATGATGGAGCCGAGGTTGCTGAGATTGGTGTGCAGAATGGCAAATTCAGAGCCACAAAGTGTTCATGACTGCATACAATGCGTACAAAATCCAGCTAAAATACGCATGAAAAATTTGGGTTAGGACTTCTTTACATACTTGAAGCATCATTAAAGCCACCTATTTATAAAATAAAATTCGTTCTGAATTACTTACATGTTCATTTCAATATTAATACTGTTCTACAATGCTGGAAAATTCACCTTCAGATTTATTAGTGCTGCAGCATCTGGTAGATTCATTATCTTGTTACTCATCTGCTTACAGTAGTTTCTAATTAGCATGAAAACAAACCCTCTGTCCATCACCGACAGGAGATCACACAAGAAGAACGCCAGGCTGCTGTTCACATTCTGTACGAACTGTAATTGAAGAAATGGCAACATACCATTGTAATATTGCATCCAAAAATGTTAGTATGTAAATTCTGGAATTTTCCATTCAAAATATTTTTCATATAACACAAAAATATAAAGATTACATCCTGAACTGAAAATTTCTCTGCTTTTCGTTTAATCTTAATGGCAAGAGTGGGTTGTCCCTTTACAATATACTACAGGGTAATGTCAGGGTAATGATACACTGGTTTCCTGAACAGCCTACCTTTCTGGTGTACTGTGGAAGTCCAGAGTATGTGATGAAACAGATGCAATTGTAAGCATGCCAGTACAAAAGAAAATATATAGTACTTAAATTTCCAAGTAAATAAAGAATCTATGCTACTTATTTCTTAATACTATAATCAGATGCTCAATGTTTCTGTGCTATTAGTAAAAAAAAAAAAAGGTAAAAAGAAAAAACATTATCACATATGAGGAACTCCTAGTGAACATTTGTCCAGCCTGCATTCCAAGAGAGCCTATCAGGTTCCAGATGGCACTTCCCCGCATAGCTTGGTTGCTATTAGCTCTTGCGCAGCCATTCACCAAACAACTTCCTTGGCGATGGGCAGAATGAGCTGTGTCTATTTTACAAAACTGAATAAAAAAGATGCATGCAAGCAGTCCAATTTCCTCCTTCTAATTGTATTGGTTCATAACTTACTCTGGTGTCTCGGACATCTTTGTTATGGAGAGCAATGATGTCATTTGTGATGGTGTTGGTCAAGTTCTCAACATCATCACAGAACTGGTGGGAGAACCTCATCTTGCGCAAAGTGTCCTGTCTTCCTGTGCGGGCTAGGTGTTCTGACATGGACTTTATCATCAATTCAAAGAAGAACCTGGAAATTGAAAAAAGAATGTGATGACATTTTTTCTGTCAGGAATAAATTTCAAGCTTTGGATATTTCAAGTTATGGATATCAATAGGAAATATCAATTTTAGTTTCAAATACTCCAGAAACCAACCATGAATTTGCTAGAGCCTTTTCTCTGCCTGTGCCATTTGACACTACCCATTGAAGGGCCACTTCTTCATGAACTACTTTCCTTCCTGGGAGTCGCTGCAACAACAGAAGATTTTCGTAGTTCCCACCTGTTGAAGAGTTCATATTACTTGGTAATACTTTCAATAAGGAGGAGTTTGAAGTCTACCTTTTAAAAAAAGCTCCATAGCATTTTTCTAAAATTGTTTGTTAGTTTTCTATAGCCACTGATTCTGACTAATGATGCTAGATTTCACCTTAGAATGTAAAAGGTCAATTCTGTTTCCTCCTCAGCTTCATCCATATAATAACATACATTTTATCTTATTTTCCTTATGCTCAAGGTAAAAGTGAGAGCCAATACAAGTCTCAATAATTATTAATAGTGATGATGATCATCATCATGATAATGATAATGATAATGATAATGATAATGATTATGATGATGATGATAATGATAATGATAACGATAACAATAACAAAAAAACAACACAAGCTGGAAAGGATATGGACATCTTTCTTTAGCTCTCAACTTGCTTTCAAAGCGAAAACAAAATCCTGAACAAATATATTGCTTTTTGTAGGATATGGATAATAATACCTATTGTATCATCTTTTTATCTAAGTCACATTTTTTTCATTTATCACCTGAGATTAAAATTGGAGGAATTTCCTCAAACTCTTCTGTATTCCTGCTTTAATTAGATGTTACTGACTACAATTAAGACAAAATATATACTTGTTACTCATCTTATCAATAAAAATTACACCAAGAACAAATCTGACATTTATGGAAATGTTTACTGAATTTTCATGTATCAAAAACTGAATGGATAAGATACATGACCTGTTCAAAGTCAAAGTAAACTAAACAACTGCTTTGGACCCTCACTGGCTGCCTGGGGGACCCCATGCATGCTTGCTTTTTCCATAAAATATATTTGTGGTAACATGATGTCAGTATCATGTTCACTGGCTTTGATATTGACATACCCGTGTGCATAAAAATAATATATATGTCAAAAGTACTGGCAGTGCTGAGGCAGTGGAGAGCTCCCAAATCAAATTTTGTTTAGGGCTTTACAAAGGTTTGGGGTAACCCTGCATGGATTATACTATGCTACACAGAATACAATTTCCCTTTTTCTGGATCTCATCTCCTGCTTTCTTCCCTTTCCAAATCAACAAAACAAAAGTAAGATACAAATTAAAGAGGTTTAAATATATCAAACTGAAGTCAATAATTACCCTACATCAATCAAGCTAACAAAGTTTCCAGGAAAGCCACTTCCGTAAATTATATGCAACGGGAAAGTTAAACCCTTTACAAAAAAAATAGTAACAGCTGATATCTATTTGGACACCATTACTAGCTACAGTTCTGCTTTCATTTCAAATGGAAAATTATTTTTTATGCAACAAAATGAATACCACTGACCTACTACATGAGATCATTAAACAGATATGGATGCATAATACATTCAACAAATGGTTATGGGAGAACGATGAATAAACTTTAAGCAACAAATGGAAAATTATTTTTTATGCAACAAAATGAATACCACTGACCTACTACATGAGATCATTAAACAGATATGGATGCATAATACCCTAGACTGGCAAGTATTAAAACTAGTAACTGTTGGAAGATCAAGCAATGCAAAGTTTAATCAAAGGAATAAAAACTGTATAAACAGAAACAAACAAAAATCTAATCACCTGCACGTAATGTAATCCACTTATTTTCAATACCATAATTTTCTTTACTCTTGGTAAAATAAAGCTGTAAAAGCAGAACCATTTCAAAAAATACTACTTACAGAGACCTGGTACAAAATCCAAGAACCAAATCAGAATTTCTCTAATGTGAATTAAGCCATGCATCTGCTATTGCAAAAGTAATATTGTTTATGAAAAAATGCAAAATCTCTCTTAATTCTTTCACTTCAAAGCAAAGCAATCCATTTCTAAGTCAATCAAATGCATTTGTAAAGACTTTTTTGTACACTAGCAGTAATGCCAAAATCAAAAAGGATGAGATTAAAGTGGTTTCAATGAACCTCGTCCCATAAGTTATATATGTCTGGTTGGGACTTGAAGGATTGGTGAAGATATTTCACTCTGGTTCTTGGATGCAAAACACAACTGCCCTGGTTGTATAAAAGTCAACCCAGTTGCTATGTTTGATTTGGCCATCATACCTGATGCCAACAACCTTTCAGCCAGCTTCTTAGGACAATAACAAGAATATTTCCAATCTGTCAAATACCTCATTGTCTGCTAATAATTTTTCTCATAAAAAATAACTTTTAAGCTCGGAGAGGAATGAAAATCACACTCAATTAAAGAAGCAATGCAAAAAAAGTATCAACGCAAAATTCTACATCAACTTAACAATAAATTTCATGCTGTGGTTAAAATATCAAACTGCAACCACATGAAAAGCCCATCAAATTACAAAAAAACATCATGTTGGTTCAATAAGGCAAAGCCAGCCTTCTCACTGGGGGTAAAATACTGTATAATTTGGCATCTGGATTAAAGATGGATATCTCACCTTTCTTATCAGTTTGCTCCTCATCATTGTCTAGTAAAAGACAGACATGCAAAAGAATGTAGAAATACTTCTTAACACAAGTTTTCCTAATTAATATATCAAATAATTAAGAGTAACCCAGAATCATAACACTTAAAACTGAATTCCTTCCTTTTACTTTTCTTGAAGTCTTTTCTTCAGCCATTAAAAATACAATGTGTAAATCCAAAAATACAAGTTGTTAGAAAAATAAATTTTCAATAATATGAAGTTTAAAGGTCAATCTCCTCAATATTTCTCATGCTATTGTTATAAGTAATACCTTTACAATACATGCCGCTACTTAAATACCTGTTCTCATCGAGTTGGTTCTGTCCAATCCTCTTGATAAGATTCCTCCAACTTCAGCATCAGCATCCTGACCTAAATCAGGATTACTGCTGCTTCTGAGAAAAAAAAAAAAACAGTAAAAAATAAATGCTATGCTATACAAATAATAGCAATCTCTGATGAGAACTTAAACTTCTACCATTCCGGCCATGACAAAGAATGAGCAGCAACTACTGCATCAACTAAACTACAACACACAACGCAATCCGATTTTACAATAACATACTAAAAAAAAAAAAAAAAGGGTGAAAAACCACTATTTCATGTAAACCACTTGTTAGTCTGCAATAATTCAGCACATTTTCCTTCCTACCTAGAATACTTTCGATGAGTGGGGACTGAGGTTGGTGGGTGAGGAGGGTGTGGCTGGGCAGTTACAACAGTTGGGCTATCATCTGGATGGGGTAGAGTTGCCTGATATGCCACATACGTTAGGAGGGTGCTGTTACGTCCATGCTGATCATTCTTGTCCTCCAGGAGTCCCTGTTCGTAAAAGCAAAGATTATATGAACAAGAGCACAAATGACCACCATACAACTATTTATGTATTTATAAGCTATATATGCACACAAAACCAAACCACACAGTGGCTAATACTTACAGATATTCGTCCAACAAGCGTGCCAATGGTCTCAAAACAAGCCTGGGCAATATTGACTTGCTGTCCAGCAAGAGTGGGTGGCCGAACCATGAGAGATATGAGGCGGTCTAACAGCACAGGGACAAATCGTACTAATGGTTCAGCATGACAGTTTATCAGATCTCCCATTCTGTTTCAAGTAAGAATAATATATTTCTATGAGTAAATTCTATCTTGCGGGGTATAAATATATATTCTCTATTATCATTTTTCTTATCAAATTACTAAATCAATGCAAGTGCTATCATATCAACCATATACTTCTCTGATAGTAAGTGTATCTATAATTAAGAGAAAAATATCCCCCCCCCAAAAAAAAATATATATATATATACATGGCAAAATATTGCTATTGAGAACAACAAAAATATAATAACAAAATAATAACAAGATAAACAACAACATTATCATAATGAAAGTCAATGTTTTATACATTATAAAAAGCAACAGAATACAGATCACTTAATACTCACGCTTTCTTTAGTTCTCCCTCCATATTAGCTTCACCAATACGAGCTGGAATATTACCCTCCTCCACCATTTTACACAGATGGAAAAATCTATCAATATGCTTATCCTGAAAAAGAAATAAATGTATAGATTTAAAGGAATTAATGGATAATAATGTACTCAATATCTCAAGATTTCTTTGTCTTTATAAACAAGAAAGCAAGACAACTCATTCAATGCACAGATGTCAATATCAAAAGTCACACCCCAAGTAGTAAATGTAATGGCAAAATGGCAAAATTTGCAGATATTTTTCTTTATTTGACATTATTCAGTGTAAGGCTTCAGAGACTTCTCAACTAACATACCTGTGCATGTACTGATGACACTGCCTCAACTAGGACAGTGAAAAGGCCCTTGTGGTTATCAACCCACTTTGTGCCTGGGAGTTGTATGTCCGCAGTGATATAGGAATAGTTGCTTGGGGGCCGCTCCATCATCACTGGCAAGCTGTGTTCACCAGTTTGGAGGCATCCATCACGATATACAGGCAGCCACTAAGCAAACATAAGTCACAATTATTCTTGAACATTTTTTGTGAGCCAAAACTGTGCCCTTATAATATAAATATAATATGTAATTTAAAAACTTCCTGAGAATTAATTGATATGCTGGATAATCATGAAACAAACAATGTGCCTGTTAAGATCTGACTACATGTATATGATAAGCATTGTAAAATAACTTACTGTATACCCAACAGGAGTTTCAATTGTTTTTTCTTCATTCTTTTTCTGACAAGAAATGTGATAGAATGTGAATAAAATGTGGTGTTGGTCACCAAGTACAGGAGGTAACTTGATCTTGAATTCATCATAGAAGTCAGGGGACTTGTTATGGTAAGTGACTGCAGTATAGGCTTCTGTGGTGAACTCTGGGCACGATGATTTGCCAAAAAGGACTGACATGGCAGCCGACTCTTCTTCCCCAGCCATGAACTGTATCTTTACAGCAATGTTCCGTGCAGAACCTACGTACAAACAAACTCTTCAACATTGCCATACAACAGTTTCATTTTGATGAAATTAACCAGAATCTAATCTTACAAATTATAAAAATATAAAAAATATGAAATGTTTTTCTATTTTGTCTCTTAGGTTCCTTTGTTGAGATTTTGAAGTGATTAACCACAGAATATCAGTAAAATTTATATGAACAAGAAAATGTGTGAAAACCATATCTTCTCTACCTGGTCTGTTACTGAAATTCAGATCTTTTGGTGAAACAAAGAGGAGATTCCTGTAGGAGTAGTGAGGAACAAAAATATCTCTTGGAGGAAACTCGACGATCTCCTTAATTGGTCGACATTTCTCATCTGGATTAAAAGACAGTAATGTTAGCACATTCTTAATAAAATGCATAATCATATAAGAAAATTATTAAGCAATAAGTAATCTAACACTATATAAAATATGCTATCAGCAAAAGAAATATTTACTTATCTTAATTATATTCAACTCAAGTCATTTCCACTTTTACAAATCTTTTTACTTTAGGATGCATTTCTAATACTTTTTTCAATTTACTTTTTCATAAACTTCCATGCATACAAGAGAAATATATATGACATAGACAAAGCATTCAAATGTAATACTGCAGCATTAACTCTACAGATTTTGTTCTCACAGAAAAGCAAGAAAGAAATTTATTCATAATAAAGTATCAACTTTAATCATCGGCTTTTATAAACATACAATAGCTACAAACATACATTCATGAAGTGGATCTAAACCACAGTTTTCAGTCGTATACCTAATATGCAGAAATAAAGTACTTACACATATTGGCAATTACAAATCGGCATTAACAGTTGATTTCTCTTAAGCTAATAACATTTAAATAAACATGCTCTTCAGCATACATGTTAAAGATAATAAAATACATAAAATACACTGCAAACTGATATATAAAAATTCAACATGAAGAACTGTACACATCAAATTCTTTAAACATGCAGTTTTCAATTTCACTTAATTATAAAGAACTTTAATCTAATTACTAAAATCAAATGCGATGCAGAAATAACAAATACTGAAGTGAAAAATTAAGCTGAACACTTGTGCTAAATGCTCTTTCACAGTTTAAGCCACTTTTTCTCAGCAATTCCAGACATTTGTGTAATCTAATTTCAAAAATACTAAATCTGACTTCACACAGTTCATTGTAAAATAAATATAGAAAAAAATATGAACAAACGAATAATTCCAAAAATGCTAAATATTACATTTTTTCCTCTTAGTATATCATGCCTTACACCAAATATAAGGTAATACAAGGGATTCCAAAACATAAGTATTGACATTCATTTACTAAAAATTTAACAGGGAATACTAACTGCTCATTCAACAGAGATACTTGGCAATCATTTGTGCCATTAATCTCATTAATCAACTAATCATCAATACAAAGTCATTAGGCATTAAACATTTTCTTGTTTATGAAAATATAACTTGTGCCAACAGATAAGATATACTCAATATTCTATAAGAAAAAAATGAGAAAATTCATTATCACACAGCAAGGACCCTGTTGATTCTTAGCACAGTGTGAACTACAGTACTTATATCAACATGGTACCTATCAAGATTATTAGAGCACAACTACAGCTCTACAAGATTTTACATGCCAAAGCCTTTCTTTTTTTTACAATTTTCACTTAAATGTCTGGAAAATTACTGATCAATTACTGAATTTTAGTGTAAGCCGATGTGATGTTATATACATCATGCAGCAGGCACAACAACAGCTACAATCCATAAAGGATATCTAATGAAGAATGACTTACAATCCTTATCTTCCTCCTCCTCTGTCTCATCTGCTGCAAGAGGGTTAAACTCAGATACTTGGAATCATGGCCATCGCTTGAGAACATATTCATATCTCATACAGATGGAAAATATAAATCTCAAAAGTTATCATGCTTCCTTGATTTCGTTTGTGTTTCTCAAGCCATGTCTATGTTTCTTCGGGGTTAGGTGTTATTAGGTGTTAGACAAACACTACATGGAATCAACCAGACCTTAAAACTCCCCATTTATGACATAAGCTCTCATGTTATCAAATCTTATTAAAACCACCACTGTAAAATATAATGATGAAAAATACACTAAAGCTTCCATCTCCAACAAATCATGCATTAAAAACTGGCACAATAAAAGAAGCTATGTTCAATGCAACATGTCAGCACCATGACTATTTGCCATAATCACATAATGGTATTTCATCACTATACATTTCAAATCTCATTAATCAATAAACCAATGAAATGCATTTCTATAAACATTATTAGAAGTGAGGCATCATATACTGAAAAACTTCAAATGTTCTCCTATCTACAATCTTGCGCTTACATTCCCGTCAAATATTCTTGACTGCCTCACTGAGCACCAACACACAATCACCATTTTTCTGACATTTTTTTCTCATTAGCAAATTAACACATCTTTAATTAAATGTATTTTACCTATGAAAAGTAACAAGTCTATATATACATACATTTTGTACCAAGTAGTATGAAGACTAAACAACTACTTTAGCTTTTGAAAGTGGTGAATATACACAATCCCTGTCATCTGAAACTTACGGGAAAAGGCTCCTCTAAAACCTCACAATGAATTAAGGGATCAGGAAATGTAATACTAAATGATTACTTTGTTATCTCCTTTCTCTTGTGGTTGTTCACGGTCTCTTGTAACATTAAGCCTTTTTTGCCTTTATCTTTACCCAATGCTCATAGGACAAAATATGTTTTCTTTATTGAAAATATTGTTGCATTTTATCATCTAGTCACCCAAAGTAGGGCAAATGCCCAAAGGTGGAAAAATGTGGAAAAATGATAAATGGCTGCTTCCTCCCTCTATTCCTTCTACCTTTGTGACTTTTTTAAATACCTATGCCTCATATACATATCAATGATTGTGATTAAATGTGTTGACAAAAAAGAGTAATACAAATAAGGGGAAAAATAAGTCATGTTGAGCTGACCCAGGTGACCTAAACACATCAATTGGCAAGTCCATGAGTATTTGTCCCTGTATGTTTTGATGTGTATCAATAATGTTAAAACACTACCTATCACATACTTGACACACTTTACAGCATCAGATTGATTCTAAGTATAACTTTTATACTGAAATATTAAATGAAACCAAATGCAAATCTTCATATGATTCAGAATATTTCAATAGATGGTGACAGCAATAGTAAGAAAGCATATCTAATAAAGCAAATCTTTTATATTCTAGATTCTGTATAAACACAAAAAGCTTGATATGGTCTTTAAGATAACAAATGGTTATTGCAAGGTAAACACAAGGACAGAGGTAAGGATTAAGCAGTGAACTTGGACTAACTTGTCTCTTGCAAGCTCCAAGGCATGGGCACTGCAGAGGATAAAAGCACATATAATGTCAAGACTATCTGATCTAGCAAGGCAATGATAATCATAAGAGCACGGCTGACACCAAAGCAAACATCAAAGGAAGCATTATGTGTTGGCTTTACAGTTTATGGATCTAACCAGATTAAGTTCCTGGTTAAGAGCTTATTCATTTAATTCCAAACAACAATGTATTGTGCTGGAAAGAATAGGGTCCATGTTTTCATCAGGTTGGTCTGATTTTGTGGACACCAAGTAATTCTAGATCATTTATATTTAGCAAGCATATGTTAATTCTAATTTTGGAGAAGAAGAAATTAAAAATCATGTTCTCACATTTAGGTGTTATATAGTCAATATTAACATTAATATCGCTACATCCTTTCAATGCACTGTATTTTATTTTAGCATTAAAACAAATATTAAGATGCTGTTAGTATCATTTGTAAACTAACAGTATCTTCTGTATTCATTCAATTTAGCCCAATGCTGCCAGAGATGAAATGTGCATACAAGCCATGTCCATTGTGATTTTAGTTTCTTGATTGTGTTCACACATATATGGCCCCACAAAGGCTTTGTCACCAGTGAGTCATTTACAAAACCTCCCCTATCTGATTTCTCTCTTCCTTGATTTTTCAAGAAGATTCCTTTCCATTCCAAAGACGTTATAACTATAAAATTTCAAAGAAAGAAGAAATCAAGGGGCTTACTAAATGACTCCTTGGTGGCTGAACAATTGTGGAGCCATATGCATGTCAACACTATTCACAAAACAAAACTACATTAGACATCACATGTAACTGGTAGCAATGGGTTTAAAAATCAAACCAAGTAAATGTTATTCTCAAAAGAAAAGCGGTATCAAAACACCAGGATGGTCAAACCTACAAGATTTTAAGTGAAACATTGTGGTCTGCACCTAAAAGTTTTCTTGGTAAAGAGAACAGTGAAAACTACCAAACTGTAGAAATGAGCAACCTTGTTTCTAAGCATGTTATTGAATTAGGGGCAGATAAAATGACCAATCCTAATAACTAACATCCTGCACAACTGACCTACATCATGACTGAACACTTTATGAGATGCAAAGCCTAATCTTTAAATCAAAATAATATGTATATGGCTTATGTAGTAACATTATTAATTGATCATTAATATATATCCAAATGATGCTACACTTCAAACCTTTACTGACCTGGATAAGGATGAAGTCTGGATAGCTCTGCTGTGAGGCAGTACTTAGGCTGGTCCCGAACTGGAGATATATCTAATTTGAGTAGACCCGGAAGACATTTTTTCTTCAATTGATTTGAGGGTCGTTTGAGATCAGCAAGGAACTTGTAAAGGTCATCATCACGTAGTTTATCTCCCTCCTAAAATGAGTTGTTGTAATTAAATGACTACAAAGATCACGTTCAGCATTTAGATATACTTGCATACCATATACAACTCTATATTCTTTATTCTACAATTGAGTCTTTGCAAAGCTATCAAAATGTGGAAAAACATTATATAATACAGCAGGAAAAAATCAAAGAAAGGACTTTAAAAAAATTAGCAAACCAATTCTGAACTGAACAATACTCTCTCAGTCTTAAGCTTCTTGTCCACTTTATCACACAATTATGAATCATTTCTAACTAAATGGTCATGAATTACTTACAATCTATCATCAAACCAGAAACAAATAACTAAATATTGAAAAAGAAAGGTAACTGATTTTGCGGTCACCTGTTTGAAAAATGATGACACGGTTAGAGTAACTGGTCTGAAGGAATCCAGACATGCTCCAAATTCTTCAGGAGACCAACTCCGTCTCTTCTCACTGAAGCTTCGCCTTTCTAGGGATCCTCTGCGAGTCAGTGACCCTGAACCACTCTTTCGTTTCAGCTCATCGTAGCTGGATGAACTCTGCTTTCGGTCTGAAAATATCAGATTGTAAAATTATTGTACATCAACTTAAAGCTACTAAAAATTTAAAAGCTTCAGATGTATATGATTACACAAACAAAATATTTGCTCAAAATCAACTGATACAACTAGTACATAGTAAAAATAACTGGAAAAAAAAAGGACCTTTAAGCCAAGATACAAACAAGGGCCACACATGAATACTCACCTAGACTGTTTGATCCTGATGGTTCTCTTTCCGGAGCATTCTCACGATCTCCATGGACTCCCGTGAAGATGTTCATAAGATTAATTGCAGTCCAGGCTAACGGCATACGATATTTACCAAGCCGTTCACAACTTGCAACAGCTGCTGCCTTCAACTTCTCTCGGTTCTTGAAAATACATACAACCATATAAAAATCAGAAAGTAGTTCATATAACTTTTCACTTTAGGGAACATAAAATATTATATGATGCAATAGTTAATGATTTTGTCACTACTTCAAATACTCACTGCATCATCTTTCATGTAAGGTCCAACAACATCACTGATGTCTCCCTGAAGAATCTTCTCAAGACGAACTACTAAGAATAAATCACTTGAAGGGTAGGTAATATCAAAAATACAGGTACGGCTGAGTGTTGATATATCCTGAAATACCAAAAGATAACCAAAATCACTTTCAATTCTCTTTCATACTTTATAAGTAGCTTTTAAAATTTTGGTCACAAATTATTCTATGTTAAAACTATGCTTTCCTCATCTACAAGAAGAGCTCTACATAGAACTCACTTACTTTAGGGGGAAAAAAAAAAAAAAAAAGTCACAAATAACTTAAATCACAAACTAAATGTTTTCCATAACTACCGCAAAAAAGAACTTATCAAAACTCTTGAAGAAATATGTTGGCAAAAAATAATCTCAACGAACCTGATATGGAATGTGTGACGTTAACATTCGCTTGAGAGGCTCAGGATTCATATCAAAACAAAAGTTCTCAGACACCTTCTTCTTATCCCTCAAGTCATAGAGAGCCATGGTGGCAAAGACTGGCTCGATCTCCAACTCAAGTCTCAAGTTGATGCACTTTACTTGGATGCGGTGGCCTGAGTGGGGCATGGGGACTTCTGGGTATAGCCTCCTCTCTATCATGTCCTCCTCATCTTGTGGGGGATAAAGTACAAACAGGGACTCCTGCAAAAGATTCAAACTTTACCAAAAGAACCAGAAATTTAAAACAAATAATCTGATCTTGAAAATTGCATGAAAATTAAATCCTTTTAGCCATAACTGTACATATTCTCTTCTTATAAACTGATATGATAGATGATAAAATTATTAGATGAACAGATGAATTAATGTATGTATGTTGTAATGAATAAATAAGAATGTGAGGTAAGTAGATTGGGATAAAAAAATGAAAAGGATGAATGGTTGGCATAATGAATAGACAGATTAAAAACATATAGATAAACAGACAGAAATGCAAAAGAAGAGATCTGAAGATGACCATATGGATTGAAAGATAAATTGACATACAAATAGATACACAAATAGATATGAAGTTGGTTGGATATATGTGGGATGAAAAAACATATTAATAACTGGCTGAATGGATACATAAAGAAAAAGCCGGGTGCAAGTACATATAATAGGAAGCACAAGTATATATAATCAATCTGAGAGATTTACACAAATGAACAAGTAAACAAAGTCGTAAACATAAATCCATGGAATTGCATACATATAGGTTATCAGATGATGCAATACCTGTCTGTTTTCCTGCCTCGATTGTTGATTGTTGTTATCCACTGTGTCCAAGGGAATACGAGAGAGTAGGGATGGCAGCAGGGGATCTGCTACAGAATTTCGCAGATCAAAGACTGAACTTGCCCAGCTTCCCCTTGGTGTGTCAGATAGGTGGGAGGAGTGACGGCTTCCCACCATATCTTGCTGCAATATTATGAATAAAAATTATATGTGAAGATTAAATAACAAATCATTAAATTGTTAATCATAACAAATATTCTAACATGATATTCAGGAAATTCTTCAGTAGACATAGTACAATATAAAATCTATAATGATCTAAAAGAGTGAAAAAATCAATGAAGATACGAAATGACCATAAAGATCCGATCAAATAAGAAAACCATTAATAATATAACATAAATCAACATAATTTAATTACTAAATCAATTCAAAGTGCAAAGGTCTGAAATAGTGAGAGAATATTAGGAAAGCAAGAGGTACACTGAAAAGTAATTCTAATCTCCAAATCATTGCTTATTTACTACTACTACTACTACTACTACTACTACTACTACTACTACTACTACTACTACTACTACTAATAATAATAATAATAATAATAATAATAATAATAATAATAATAATAATAATAAAAAGTGAGACCAAATTCATCAACATACTCTTTCAACATCATCGTGTCCCCGGTCATCATCCAAGTCTACTTCAAATTCAGGTTGTGGACAAGACTGCAAATGTGCAAGGCGCTCTGCTGTCAGCTGGTTCCTTCCAGGTACTGACGTGGAATGATGGAGGTACTGTCGACTGACATGTAGCCAGTCTTTTGTATAGCACCGAACACAGTCTGCCACATGTGCATCAAAGCCATCCCTACTAATAAAGGAACAAGAGTAAATATCTCACTGACATAATAGAAAAATTCAATCCAATGAAAAGGACAAATTGAATAAACATACTTCACACATAATCCATAATTATGTAGCTCAATATCTCTGAACAAAATTATAGAGAAAGTTACTGGAATATTTTCTTTCAACTTTTAAAATAAATTTACATATCACAGCATAAATCTTTTATCTCACCCATCATCTGGCACAACTGGATGCACAGTTCGAATGTGTCTTGGAATACATGTTACAACTATGTCATCGCTGGGAAAGTGAAGTATCCCACGGGCAGGATCTCTGTCTGCCTCAAGTTGATGCTGATCAATGAAGTCTTCATAATCAACAGGTTCAACTACCTCTTGAAGGGGAACATGCTGGAATTATAATACATGGTAATGTTTAAAATCACACTGTTACAGAATTAGTATCTGCAATAAATGTTCTTAATAAAGAACAAACTAAAAACCTATAGTTTCAAGAGAAGCACATGTATATTTTATTGAATCACTAACTACTACTTTCTCATAAAAAAAGAGGAAACTTCATAAAAAAAATTGTTCTATGACATCAATGAAGTCATCAAACTTACTGTGGAGATAGTTGATACACTGGCTGAACGAGGCGGGTCTTTCCCTGTTGTAATATCCCGCACTGTCCTTCGCACGTCAGCTGCATGTTGTCTATCAAAAATGAAGGAATTTTAAGTTTTGTGTTACTGAGGAATTTATCAAATCTATACATCATAAAGTTATTAATGGTCCTTAGAATTTAGTGCCTATGCATTGAATGTAATAAAAGGCAACTACATTTTTGTAACCCTAGTACCTCTCATGCCCTACCTCCAGAATATAGAGTATTTTTCTTGCGCGGGGAATATTACATTTTTTCATGCGCGGAAAACATCATTTTGTCTACATTTGCGCAGACGGATCTGTAGACGGGTGATGGAGCAAGTGCATGGAAAATTCAAATGAATTTTAAATGCAGAAGATGATTTTAAAAAGAACCAAGCATACTCAGAAGTTACCCGAGAACTACATTTGCGCGGAGAGAATTTGATCAAATAATTTTTGCGTGGGGAACAGTCTGGCCCTACCCTACTATCAGGACCAAACAATTTGGGCATAGGGGGGCTTCCACGCAATAAAACCTACATATTTACACTAAAGACAGTGTGAGGAATCCAACAATACAGAGATAGCTGTGATCCATTAAGCAGATGTATTGGAAAAAATTACCATACAGAATTACTAATATAGATAATACATGCTTTTTCTTGACTATAATCCCTCCAATTCTCTAGTATACAAAATGCCCTCTATACCTATTAGAACCTGCTCCTTTTGGGAAGGAAATCACTGCTGAATTCGCTTGACGAGAGGCGAAAGATATTAGAAAAGTATGGAAGCTTTTATATTAAACTTCTACAGAAAATATTCAGATATAGGAAAGCCACACCCTTCACATCCCATCTAATCTATTTAATAACCTTGAAATTTACAAAATATCTTAATTATAGCCCATCTTTTTAATTGGATTTCTGTTTCTTGCGACTTAAAGTTACGGTTTTACTCTCAATAAATAAAATCAGAGCATTTCTCGATACCATCAACGAATGATTCATAGTGTAAACAATGAAGGGATTGAGTTAGATCTAGCTCTTCCTCAAAACTAAAGTACTGTCCAACTATACCATACAGTCCTCCAACTCAAGGAGTTTACTCTTTCATTTCAAACACAGAAATATGAACAAGGAGGGCTCTCTCCGCCTGTAAACTCACTTTGACAGCTTTTGGGCGAAGGCCCTTTGGCCTGACGCCATCTTGCTTCTATCACACGCGTTCACGTTTCTTTATTTCTACTAATTTTCAGTGTCTTCTTTAATAATAAAGAAATAAAGGAGAAATTTAGCTTGAAGAATATACTGTATAATTATAATATATTCCTTTTCTAAATAGAGTCTAAATAAATTCGATAATTCTATTCAAGTATGTAAATATCTTTATTGCGAATGTACGAAATTTAATAACCGCACACACATACACATTTCTATCAAAGTTTCTGCGATATATACATACATACAGATACATATATGTATATGCATATAACATATAATATATATATATATATATATATATATATATATGTGTGTGTGTGTGTGTGTGTGTGTGTGTGTGTGTGTGTGTGTGTGTGTGTGTGTGTGTGTGTGTGTGTGTGTGTGTGTGTGTGTGTGTGTGTGTGTGTAACAAGAGAGTATTATTTCTATAATACATGAAGTGAAATTATATATCCCCGTCATAAACATGAGAGGGAGAACAGCGATCCTAAAGATGAGGTATTTTGCGTCGACAGATATTCCAGACAAATAACAAGTAATAATAAAAAAAAACAATCTTGAGCATCTA